ACGTATATTTGTTTGTTTTCCTAAAGTACATATTTCACAAAAATTACTATTACTATTGGTAATCTTCATACCTTTAACAAATTTTTCTAATTTCTTCAAATCAGCGAAATTACAATGTCCTAGGATTTTATGCCATGTATCAATGGTTTCTTTTCGAACTTTACTCGTTGAAGTTTTGAGTATATAATATAATCTACCTTTCTGGTATATTGGAAAAATTGTTCCGCTTTAAGCAATCAATTCTCCATTATTACCTTTGAAGTTGACAATTTCACCTTTTAGTGCAGCAGCTTGAACAGAAAATATACAATTAGGGTAACTTGGTATAAATAAAGTATTTTCTAGTTTAACTTGAACTACATTTCCATCCTTAGTAGTTAATTCTACTGAAAGTGTTCCTCGTTTTTGGGCCACATTGTTAGTTTTTGTACCATCAACCAACTCAATATAATGTTCATCTGGTTTAAAATGTTCATTCAGGTAAATATTTATCACTATTAACTATATGAGTGGTTGCTCCACAATCAACAAGGAATGATTCATTTTCAGATAAAAGTTGCATATTTCCTTCATCAACTTTAAATACATAATTTTGATCAATATTTTAATCTGTTAACTTTTTGGCTTTATCTTTTTCCTGTTGCTGTTTACGACAAGATTTGTCATTATGAGTGCTTGATTTACACAATTTACACCATTTTCTTTATTTTTATAACAATCTATAGATTTGTGACCTGGAGTGCCACATCTATAACATTTTGCAATATTTTTATTTTTAAATTTTACATTGTTTTTTATAATACTGCTTATATTTGGTTCAACCTGATTACTTCTTAAATTTTCAGTTTCTTCAAAGTTTCTAAGTGCCTGTTTAAATTTTTGGAAACACTTAAAAGTTTCTGATTGTGTTACAACCGCAATAAAAGATTTATATTCATTTGGTAATCCCTTTAAGACCATTGCTACTATTACTACTCAATATATATTCTATATATATATATATATATATATATATATATATATATATATATATATATATATATATATATATATATATATATATATATATATATATATATATATATATATATATATATATATATATATATATATATATATATATATATATATATATATATATATATATATATATATATATATATATATATACAGGGCCTTTGAGAGGGAGGGGCAAAAGGGGGCAAATTGACCCGGGCGCCAAGCTTTTGGTAATTACAATGGTAACTGATCAAATATCGCTTTGAAGCAGTCAACACTAATAGAACTGAAAACTTCGTTTGGTAATGCGCTCCATGGGTTCGCTTAAATTTTTTGCAAAAAAAAAATACACGAGAATTTATTGTCGATTTCACGATAAAAGCGCTACTCTTTTAGGTAGTATTTGACTTTGAAGTAAAAGAATCATAGCTTTGCATTTTTTAGACAAATAAGAAACTTTGCCACTACCAGTACCCTAATAGTTGTCAAATATTTGAGTTTTTGCATCTTTGCTGCACTCAATACGTGTAATTTACTATACTCAATGTGTGTGGTTTGAAGAACTGTGGATCAGTAGAGGGCTCAAAAAATTTCCTTAAATTAGAGCTAAAGAATTTCAAAGTTAATCATCTGAGTCAGAAAGAGTAACTTTATATCTTAAAGTGGAGAGTGTGATGTTCAACCTAATTTGGTGATAATTACTGCTAACCCCTCTTTGTGACCCGTTGTTTTGAGTCAAAAAGATCAAGATGTAATTATTTAAAAAAAAAAAACCAGCACAAAAGCAGTTTTCAAAAGTAGGTAATTGTCCCTTCTTCCTTAGAACAGAGGAACTTGGGATCAATGGAGGAAACTCATATTTTTATTTTTTAGGTTATTTAGGTGCTCCTAGAAGTCCTTACGGTCTTATCACGGAATTCCGCGGAAGACCATTTAACTAGAAGTTTTCGCCTCCTTCCTTACCAATGTCGCTTATTGGGCTGGAGCCTCTAGGTTCTACATGCCAGAACTCTAACCACTGCGCCACAGCTGCTCAATAAATCGTGTGAAGCAGCATCAATCCAGCCAGCCAGAATGGTATCTACTTCACATTCATAGTCGATTGTATCTCATACTGAGCAGAGAACCTTTGTTATTCGTTTTCTCCTCTTTTTCTCTGGAAGAGAAATTAACTGCTGGAAAATCAAAGAACGATACTTGTGTGTTGAAACTTTTCAGATGAAGAAAGAAGTTGATGTAGCTAAACTAACCACTAATGTAGTTTTAAGGCTGAGAATGAATGTTCAAAAATGTTGAGGTCTGGGACACGAAAGTGGGACCATTACATCTGGTGCTTACAAAGAAGCTCGAGCCTAAATAAGGTAAAATTCTTTGCAAACTTATTAAGCTCTGTACGTGCCCGGTAGCGCTCACAATCTAAATTTGGCTGATGTGTTCGCAGTTGAATCAGTCATTGAGATCAAAGTATTCTTTAGAAATGCCGAATCTTGGTACTTATTTTTAGTTTTTTCAATAGAAGATTCTCACTGAAGCAACTTGGATTTTACTGCATAGACTTTCTATTACAACATGGAGCTCTCTTTTCGACTTGATCAAACTACTTGCCAAGAGAAATGTTGGCAGCTATTAAACATGTCGTGAAAATCAGTTTGACCAGTGAGTAGCTGTTAGTCTTCTTCTACAATCTGCAGCCATTACCATTAATGATGATTTACATTTGATTGAACAGCTACTTAAAAATCTTAAACGGATCAGGGAAACTTGGTTACGAATAAACTGTAGTTGTAGCTGACTTTATCTGAGAGATGTAAACAAAAAGATTCTCATTTAAGAAGTTTGCCGTTTTAACAATTTCCGTGATATTCGATCTAATCTTGTAGAAGAAGCTTAAACGCTTTTTTCCATACAGTTGCATCATTTTCTGAATTTTCAACACTATTCCTAAGTCAGTTGCTGAGGGTGAACAATCGCTTAGTAAATTAGTATATTGTAAAAAACTCTTAGTATGTTGTAAAAAACTCTTCTTTGACCATGGGCCAGGATTGCGTTATTTTATATTTGATTATTTTGATTAAAGAAGATTTGGGCTAAAAAGGTTATCTACGACAATGTCATCATTATTTGGGCGACCATATAAGCTCAAAAGGTTTATTTTTAAGTACCTTGTTTAAATTTCTTAAAGGTTTCTTTGATTAATTTTTGTCATCATTATTTGGGCGACCATATAAGCTCAAAAGGTTTATTTTTAAGTACCTTGTTTAAATTTCTTAAAGGTTTCTTTGATTAATTTTTTAATAGTTTTAAAGCTAATGTTTTGATCATGTCAAAAAGCCGTTTCTCAATCCAGAGAATTAATGGTAACACAAAAGTACAAAGTGCTGTATTAGAAACAAATAACTGCTGCGTTCACAAAACTTTTAAAATTTTAATTTCTTTAATTAGTTTGAATTAAGGGCGTCGCTCTTCATTTTTGACCCGGGCGCCAATGACGCTCTCGAAGGCCGAGTATATATATATTAATAATATGAAGCGGCCATATTACCACGCGTGTTTTTTTTATAACAATGCTTAACTACTTAATGGTCCGCAAATAAACAAATACAACGACCGTGTAGATGACATCACTCTAACAAACAGAGCACTTAATCGTAACTTAACTCTATTAGTACCATAATAAGTATATATATATATATATATATATATATATATATATATATATATATATATATATATATATATATATATATATATATATATATATATATATATATATAAATTTGTAAACAAAGATAATACAACTTTTTATGGTACTAATAGTGTTAAGTTAGAATAAAATGTGCTCAGTTTGTTAGAGTGATGTCATTTACACGGTCGTTGTATTTGTTGTTTATATATATATATATATATATATATATATATATATATATATATATATATTCAAAAACAACAGTGGCGTGAACAGTGTTATCTTGAAAAAATTATCTTGAAGTTTTGTTGATTCTTAGTTTAGGAGATGTGTATTTTAGTTTTTAAATGAAATGCAAGTAAAAAAAATATTTTATGTTTGTCCTTATTACTCTCAGAAAGTACAATAAAACTCAAGACTTTAACCAGTTTACTTAAAAATAGATAAAAATATAGATAAGAACATTAAATGAACATGAATAAGGTTTTGAACTGTGTTCAATATATATCTATATAGTTCTTAGTCTGTTATATAAGTTTATTCAATAAATCAAAAATTTAATGAAATAATATAAAACTTTTTATTGAAAATTATTCTGAATGATTTTTTCTTATTGAAATTTCTAAATAGTGAGGGGAGTATAGGCAACTACACTTGTGTTCTTTTTCGCAACGCCCATGAATCAGTCTAAACACACAAAAAAAAAATATTTTCAAAGCTATACTTTTCTACTTTTAATTATACCAACATAAAAGCAACACTTATAATTTATTATTTCACTATGTATGAAAGGTTTTAAAAGTGGCTTTTAACAATAAAATGCTAGCCATACAAAAAATAAAAAATTAAAATTTGCTTCAAATTCTTTTTACTTTTGCAAGATTTATAAAAATTTCAACCGCACTTTAGACAAAGATGTTATCTAAAACAACTATTTGATTTTGGTCATGAATTTTGAACCTAACTTAAAATAATATTATTCTTATAAAAAATCCTTTAAAAACTGTTTACGAACCTTTCATCTTAAAACAACCATTAACATTTTAAAAACTGTTTACGAACCTTTCATCTTAAAACAACCATTAACATTTTAAAAGAGATTATTCAAACATTTGGATGTATCAATAAAAAAAAAATCATCAGGTAAACAAAATGTTTTTAATGTTTGTTTTTCTTTGATTGTCTATTTTGACGACTTACTTTTAAAAAAATTTAAAATGAATAATTTTGTAAATTGATTGAATATTTCATTTACTTTTTATAGTTAAATTAAGTTTGTGAATTTAAAAATATTTTTCGTTATTTCTATATTTCTCTTAAAAGGTAAAGTGTCTAAGTATTTTACGTTACTTAAACTTTCTACAAAGTTGACACAAAATAATACAAAGCAAGAGGTTATAATTTTGTGAAATAAAAAGGATAATGTTACTCTCATGAGTGAATATTGAAATTATTTCAAATAGTATTTTGGTAAATAACTTTTTATTAAAAATTTATTCTTATTTTCTATATTAGATATATAATAAAAGTATGTAGTTTTTAAACAAAATATAATTCTATATTAAATAAACGAAGCCTCATACTGTTATTTACATTTTGGTAGCGAAGTGTATGATCAAGCATTTACTACACTAGGTAAATGTTTCTTTTAGTAAGAAAAATTAAAACGACCGTGGAAAATGTGTTCAGACAAAAAAATATTAATTTTTGTTATTTATTTTTTCAATATATAATCCATTCTCCTTTATTAGTTAATACTTCATTGATTCTCTTAGGCATTGACTCAATCAAGATGTTACGTCTCGTTATATCCATAGAATTCCAGCATTTTCTAAGTGCTTCGTTGATAATTGTCCTTTTTCGTCAATATAAGCTTACCAATTTCTATTTTGACTACTTTCCATGAGTATTCTGTAGGATTCAAGTCTGGAATTTGTGCTTGCCAATCTAACACCTCAATATATTTGCCTTGGAGCCAGGCTTTGATATTTTTTTCCGTATCTTTTGAACCACAATCTTGCTTGAATATGAATTATCTAATGATTGATTCTCGAGCAGTTGGTAGCATATATTTTAAATTAATTCTAACATACTTAGGAGAAGTCAATCCATCCTTTATAACATGTATACGCCTACACCATTCCAACTGAAGCATCCTTAGAATTTTCAACCAAAGTGACGATTTTTTGATCAATTCTTGGAGTTGTTTTTCCTTATATCTAAGCAAATTTTTGAGTACTCCATGCTTTTTAATTCTCCCCATAGTATCTTGAACAGTTGGTTTGGGCTCACAAAGCTGTTGTGTTACTTTTCAATCCGTTTTGCGTACTTTTGAGAACACTTTGATCTATTTCCCAATAATTTCTGTCAATTCTTTATTTTTCACCATGGTAACGGTCGTCAATGGTTTCTAAATGTTAGAGAAATAGAAATTATGATTTTTATGACTTTATGTTATTTATGCCTTTAATTTATGACTTGTTATTTATGCCTATTATTTATGACTTTAAATTATATTATCCTAAGCTACTAGTACACTTATAAGAACTTACATCATGAACTTAATTGAAAATCTTGAACAAATATTAGCACAAAGTAACTGATTGGATGCTTTTTTCCACAGTCATTTTAGTTTAATTTATCAAAAGAGACATGTACCTTGTGTAGTAAATGTTTGATTGTACATTTAGATTGAGCTTTTTAAGAGCTACAAAATTATATATAACAGTATCAGGTTTCTCTCATTTATTATAGAATTATATCTAAAATTATAGCTTATCCAGAATTATATATATATATATATATATATATATATATATATATATATATATATATATATATATATATATATATATATATATATATATATATATATATATATATATATATATATATATATATATATATATATATATATATATATATATATATATATACACATAGTAAATGATTTAGAAAATCTGTGTGCCCATTGAGCAACAAATTTATATTTTTATGTATAAATTAGTAGAAAAATTTATCTAATTTTTTCTTCAACAAGTTGTTTCTCCATCAATATGTTCATAAGAAAGCCTTAAGAATTAACTGATGGAAAATCAATTTGCTGAAGAAAATATAAGGTCGTTGTTTTTAGTTGATTGTTATTTCTCTGTTCTTTAAGAACAATGAGCATTTATTTGCAGAACACACTAACACAATATACTTTTCCATTCAAGCAGTCTTTATTTTTATGTCAGCGGCGGATCCAGAACATCTAGTAAAAGAAGGGGGAAAGAGGAGCGATATTAAGGAAAACTCGCAATTCATGAAACTTGTGTAGCTAATTATTTTTCAAATTTTTTTCTTATACTTTCTTAGTCTATATAACAATAAAACTACATCATATATTGTCATTCCAACAATCTGATTTTAAATTTGCTTCACACAATTTTTAAATTCTCATTTACATACGGATGTATGTATGTATGTATGTATGTATGTATGTATGTATGTATGTATGTATGTATGTATGTATGTATGTATGTATGTATGTATGTATGTATGTATGTATGTATGTATGTATGTATGTATGTATGTATGTATGTATGTATGTATGTATGTATGTATGTATGTATGTATGTATGTATGTATGTATGTATGTATGTATGTATGTATGTATGTATGTATGTATGTATGTATGTATTATGTATATGTTAAAGATATCTTTCATAATTTGTCTAAATACTTGGTTTGGAAGCAAACAAAAAATTGTTATTCTGATTTTTTTTTCTGTTTTTAGGAAGTATTTAAAAGCAGTTTAAGTGATAAACCTTTTCAAGCTTCTATCAAATAACAATCCAATATTCAGAAACCTTATCTTATAAAAAATATGTTATATTGCTTTAATGAATAAAATTATTATAAAAATGATAGCAACCAATGTATTTTGCATTTGATGTTTGTATCAAGAACGTATTTAGAACGTATTTAGAACGCATTTAGATCTCTGTTTGTAAATCTACATTGAAATACAGAAAGTTGAAATGTTAAATAGCACAAACACATTTAACAACAGTAGTTTGTCTACAAACGTTAAAACTTTAGTAACCCATTTATCTTTTATTTTAATTATCAACTGTCCAATAGGAATAGTTTTACACATTAATGGTCTTTACTTGCTCATCAAAAACAAAGTCCGCAGAATACATAAAATTGATCGAGTTATCGTAATCAACTTATCTCTCGCAGAAGTGTTAACAAATGCAATTCTGTTTATATTTGGAATATTGGACTTTGCTGAAAAGAATATAAAAAAATGGATGCTAATGGTTATGAGAACTTTTATATTTGCTTATTACATAACAACTGTTATATTAACGTTGAATCGTTTCCTTATTCTTTATTTGCATGTAAGATATTATGCCATAATCTCTAAGAAAAGAGCTATTTATTGTTTACTTGTTTCTTGGATATGCAGTGTAATTTTTGGATATATTACAACATATAAAATAACTAATAGGAAAGTATTTATAGCAAGTGACGTATTTTTCGATACATTTATAACACTGTTTTACCTTTTTGTTTACGGATATGCAATGAAATTGTCAAGAAATATGTCAAAAAATAAATCGCTCATACAAGAACAAAAATCATTTTCGAGGACGTTAATACTACCTGCTTTATATGTTACAACATACGTCATATTTACTGGCATTCCACATTTTATTTTTGCACCATACCATTTATTACGCAAACCAATAAATAAAAAACTTAAATTAGTTTTAGACATTTTCTTTTCGTTATCTTTTTGGAATGACGCTGTTATATACATTTATACAAAAAAATTTCATAAGTTTATAAGCAAACATAGTTACAATAATCACCATAAGATTTTGTCTACCGTTGATCAAAGTACGTTTACCGCTAATCAAAGTATGTCTAACATTAATCAAAGGAATAATAGGATTTATCAAAGCAGGTCTACCGTTACTATGCAGAAACAAACAAGTAACATATCACAAACCTTTTTTGGAAGAGCGCTTTCAGCTAAAAAATCCCAAAATAGTATATAATAGAAAGCGCTTTTGTAGCGTATGTTTATCGAAATATATATATATATATATATATATATATATATATATATATATATATATATATATATATATATATATATATATATATATATATATATATATATTTATATTTGTGTGTGTGTGTGTGAGACAGAGAGAGAGAGAGAGAGAGAGAGAGAGAGAGAGCTGAAATAAGCTATAAAAGTAAATAATTTTTAGTCATATACTTCAATTTCAAAAAGTAAAAAAACTTATTTTGAAAAAGTATTTTTTTTTATTTAAATATTTATTATAAGCAATTTCAAAATTTTAAAGTTTTAGATTAATATAGAAGTTTTAAATTTTAAAAGAAATAATTTAGAAAGTTGGTTTATTATTAGACCTTGCTCACACGATCAACATTTAGCGGAACATTATCACGGAAAAAATGTTCCTGTAACAATATACATTTCTAATTGTTCTTTGCAGCGTTAACACGTAAAATCAGCTTTTAAAAAAAAATCGTTAAACCACGTGAATCGAAGTAAGTTATTATGATTAAACAATTTTCTCAAAAAAAAAATTACGCTTAAATAAAAAGTGACAAACAGTTTTGTTTATAACTTTTTTTTGCGAGAGGTAAAAAAAATCTTTTAAATTAAGTTTAACTTATGTTTCTGCGTGAGGTCCATAAAATATATAGGAAAATAAATAATTTAACGGCAAACGGAAAAAAATATATATTACATTTTCAACAGCCAATAGATTTATGGTTCGCAAAAAAGTTCGCATTTTACCGACTACCTGTTTATGACGTTTCTTACGTTATGTTACGTCTGTTGGTTACACTTTTAAAAAGTATATATTTTTTAAGTTTTACCAATGGAATCGTAACGTACCGTAAAGTTACATTACGCTTACTCTGTGCTTAAAATATACACATATTTTAAAGGTGGATGAAACGTAACGTAAAATATGTTATAAGCAGGGCTGTGGAGTCGGACTTGAAGTCGGAGTTGCGGAGTTGCGACAATTTTAGCGGACTCGGAGTCGGAATTAGAGTCGCTAAAAAATATCGCGACTCCGACTCCGATAGTAATATTTCTTGGTATTGCACGTGCATGTACAAAACATTCAATTAACCTTATGTTCATACTAAACCTCAAAGAACGTTGCATAAATTTGTCAAAAAAAAAATTTCAACTTATCGCGCAATATTTTTTAAAGAATTCAAAGAATTTTTCAAAAATTTTGCTTTAGAGTTGGAGTCGGAGTCGGAGTTGTACTCAAAAAATTTCAACAACTGGAGTCGGAATCGGAGTCGTTACTTTTTTTTTACGACTCCAAACCCCTGGTTATAAGTGTTAGCTAAGAAAATTTAGTTACAAACTAAAACTTTATTTAATTTTAAAAGTAACAAATTGAGATGAAACTTTTGTACAAAAAAAAACATGTAAAAAATAACTTTCGTACGAAAATTACATTTCATCTTTAATATTGGTTTGTTCAAACAATGTTAGCAAAATTAATAAAATTTGCATGCAAATTTGAAGACATCATTTTTTGCTAGATTAAGGATGAAGTACTGGAGGAGTTTAGTATTATTTGTTTTACTCTTTATATATATAAAAAAGCCTTGGTTGCGTATACGTCTTTATATTAGCGGTGAGTATCACTCACAAGTTTTTGAGTTTTTATTTACACAGAAACAAATAAGTAAATCAAATGTGAATCATTATTAAAATATGAGATCGAAAAAAATAAGGAAGAAAAATCCTTTTAAAAATATTTAAATTAACATTTTTTTACAAATTTCTTTTATTTTTATTTGAAGTTAAGAAATTGAAGCGTATAAAAAAACTTTTAACATTTTTTCTTTATTTCTAAGAGAAATATTTGTACATGAGGTGATCATGATCATTAATTTTTGCGCAAGTGTTTTTGTTGTTTTCTTGCTTATAGTTGACCTTGCCTTTAGCGATTCTTGTACTGAATTAATAGTCTTGCCATTTTACGCAAACATTCTTTGCCAATACCCCAATATTTTTCGATGAGTGGGAAATTTGGTTGATTGAGCATTTTTGGTACAAAGTTAACCTTTATCAATTTATATCACTCCAAAGTTTTTTTTGCAAAGTGACACGAAGTTAAGTCAGGCAAAAACAAACAAGATTTAGCGTGCAAATGAATGAGTGGCAAAAGTCATTTTTGAAGGCACACTTGATTATTAACTTCTGATGCCAAAGTTGAAGATGTTACAAAGCTTTACCCTTTATTCCACAACTACAAAGCGCTTGCCATAAGAGAAACTTTTTTGCCATTTTGTCCTCAAACTTGTGTTTATACTTGTTGCATATTCTGCTACAAACAATTGAAGTATAATATTTGTCGCCAGGAAGTTGGCTGAAGCTATATTTTATGTAAGTTGTCCATCAAAATGCAGCCATTCAATTTTGTAAAAACTTCGGTGTAAATATTTCGTGCTTTTTTTTTGTTGCTGTGAAATTTTGCTTATCAGAACAATTTGGGTATTTGATTGCTCGGAAAGACTTATACATGTAGTTTTTCCTCCCTTTCGTTACCAAAAACTCAGCAACTTTGTACTTTTCAATTTTTTTCTGTGTAAGACAAGCCTGGATTTCTTACAAAAGAATAATAAATCTTAATTACCACAAATTTATTTTTAAAAATTTATTGTTTATATTAAAATTTATTGTTTCATTTTTTCATGATCGTTTTGCTTGTTTGATGGATAAAGTCTTTTTCTATCATTTTATAACTCTTTTAACATTAGATATTGGAGTTTAAGTAGTTTTTAAAACTCATTTGTAATTCCATGAAAGATTTTCTTCATGGATGTTGTAATTCCATGGTGGATTTTCTTCATGAGTGCGTGTAGTTCCATGATGGGTTTATTTTAGACAGTAGATAATCGGTATCGTATAAGTCGATACCGAAAAGAATGGTCTCGTATCGTGTGGTATCGCTTATATACTAATGTCAATATTATCAGTATCGGTTCTATACCACTCAATACCGAGAAGGATCGTCTCGTATCGTGTGGTATCGCTTATGTTCTAATGTCGATACTATCAGTATTGCTTCGATACCAAACAATACCGATAGTAAAAAGAATCGTATAGTATCGCGTGGTCTCAAATTGAGACTCTCAATAAAACAAAAAATTAAAATGTGACTTATTGAATTTTTTATTAACAAAATACAAGTACAATTGTTTTTTATAGATTTAGTGATTGTTTTTTATTAATCTGCAATGCTTTGGCTATCGTCCATTTGTAGTTTTTTCCTTTGCCGTACTTTCGTTAGTATTTTAGGATTTTCTTCTATTAATATTGGCAAAGATGATCTATGTCTGATCATGTATAGGACATCAAATTCACTTTCATTTTCTTGTTCGATGGGCCATTTTTTGATGTAACTTTCAAGAGCGGAATAGTTCTGCATTAAAAATACAAATTTATCTGCCTTGTCACTATCGAAATTGTATCTACGATCTGTGATGACAAAGTCAGAAACAGAAAATGCTCTTTTAGGAAATGCAGAGGTTGGTGGAGTAGCCAACAAAGATCTTGCAACACCCGAAGGGATAGGAAGTTCCGCTGGATGCTGTTTCCACTATGCTAAGGTGTCAATTTTACCTCCATTTTTGGATCTAATTTTATTTTTGGTATTTTGCCATTTCTAGTTTAACAGGAGGATTTTCGGGTATATGATATGAATTAGTATCTTCCTTAAACTTTGCTAAAATAATATTGTACTAGCTGTCATGACCCGCAAAATACGGGTCTTGGTAAATCTATTTCATGCCAACTTTTTATATACTTATTCCTTACTTCAATATATTTTAGTAAGAGGTAGAAAAATAATTAAATACATATATAATAACAATACTTACTGTTTAATTTTTAAAGCTATAAAATAAGTCTTCTATTATATTTTACTTTAAAAAACTTTTAACGTTTCGGTTGTCGCGACAACCGTCGCGCAACGGCATATCGTTGCGCAACGACATATCGTTGCGCGAATCGCTATTTATCAACGAGTTGGATATTAGTACCAGTTTAAAAAATATTTAAAATACAAGCTTGAAATGTGTTAATCAAATACCATAAAAAGTATAAAAAGTTTAAAAAGTATAATACTAAAAATTATAAGATGACTTAAATATGTGGAATAACTGACTTACCATGACCCGTATAACTATTACTGAATATATAATTATACGGAATTTATTACTGGTCATGTAAGTATATTCCACACCTACTATTTTAATAATTTCGCTTTATTTCAATAATTTTTAAAAATGACCAAAATATAAAAATCTTTGTTTTGATTTAATGATTTTCTTACAATACTTTACAACTTCTGTAAACTATATATATATATATATATATATATATATATATATATATATATATATATATATATATATATATATATATATATATATATATATATATATATATATATATATATATATATATATATATATATATATATATATATATATATATATATATATATATATATATATATATATATATATATATATATATATATATATATATATATATATATATATATATATATATATATATATATATATATATATATATAGATTTTAGTGTAAATGTCTTTTACAATCATTTAAGCTTATAAAATTTTTTTAAATAGCCTTGTAAAGATATTTCTCTTTTTATAGTTGGATCCACTTTTAATTCTTTAAACTTAGTGTTATTACTTATAATATTATGCAATGAATTTATATAATTAACTTTATTAACAACAATTATACCATTTGTCGGGTCGTGTAATAAAAATGTTCTCATTATTCCAAAGCCTTTTTAATATTTTATGTTTTCTCAGACGATTTTCAGAAAGAGTGTATTTGTATACGTAATTATTAGCCAAATAGGAAAGTCCTCTTTTAAGTTTATGTTTTGATTCATTGTTTTTCAGTTGGTTATTAAGATATTGCGAAATACAATCAAATTGAGAGAATACATCCGTCTTTTTTATAAATGCTGGTGGCAAAG